CGGGGTCGGAGCGAAGGTCTGAAAGAAGTCCACCACCACACGCTGATTGAAACCTCTAGCCACGTAGCGCGCCTTAAACACAGGCGGCTCTCCTGGAGGGCGCTTCACCTTGAAGAGCCACCAGCCATCGACTAAGTTCACCCCAGGTGGGAGAACTGCATCGACGTAGGTGCCGGTGGATCTCCAAGATGCCATCTCCTGCTCCATGGCAGCTATCCACTGAGAGGCCCAAGGTCCCGAAACCGCCTCAGCGTAAGTGCAAGGGGTCGGGATGTCGAAAGCGTCTGGGTCACCCTCAGGGACTAGCAGCATGGAACAGAGATGGGGAGGAGCCTCAGACAGGAAAGCAAGCTCAAACTGGCAGTCCTCCAGGACGTCACTGCCGAGGGCAGGAGCACCCACGACAGACTGAGGACAGGCAGGGTCGGAGACCAGAGAGGTGGCGTAGTCAAGACGGCGGGTAGAGGCAAATTCAGCGACCGCAGCTACAAGAGTGTCAAGACGCGAAACCGGAACGGACGGGTCGGTAACGAGAGAGGCAAGGACCCGAGGAACAAGAGGACGCGCGGCACGAAGGTAGTCAAACAGAGGAGGAGGCACAACGGCTAGGGAGGACGGAGGAGGCGACGGGAGGAGGGGAGGACGAGACACGTGGGAACGGAGCAACATAGGGTGAGAGCGCGTGACAGGGGAGACAGGACGAGCGCGAGAGGGACGGCGAGATCAGACGTGAGACGGAGGCGTCGGGTCAGGAGACAGAGGAGGGGACACAGGGGGGAAACGAGGGGGAAGACAAGGCAGAGACGAGTCCGGCGGAGGAAACACAGGGCCGTAGACAGGAAGAGGCGGGGACGGCAGGAGAGAAACAGACGTAGGGTCAGGAGATGGAAGGCCAAGCAGACGAAGGGCGGACACCGGTGGAGACTGCGGCTGCGGCGGCACAAAACTGACACGAGGGCCGCAAGCTGCACCTCGGCTACCTTGAGAACTCTCCACTCCTGCACCCCTAGAAGGAACACCCCCAGATCTCGAAACCCCGCCGGCGCTGGGACAAGCCACGACAGGAGCCCCGGGACTGGTACCCACCCCAACGCCAGCACCAGAGTCAACGAACTGCTGCGGCGACGACGGCTGCGGCGGCGGCTGCGGAGACGACGGCTGCGGTGGCGGCTGCGGAGACGACGGCTGCGACAGCAGAGGCGACGACGGCTACGGAGGCGGTGGAGGAGGAGACACCTAGGGAGGGGCAGGCGGCGAGGACTGCGCCGCAGGACCATGAGAGTCAGAAGACTACTCGACCGGGACAACCGACGGGAGGGGAGTGATGTGGGACACACCAGAGGGGGCACGACGGGGAGGGGGAGGGGGAGGGGCAGGGAGTACCGGGGAGGGAGTGACCAGGAACAGGGGGGGAGTAACCGGGGGACCTCGGTGACGGAAGCGGTGGTAGAAGCAGACAGACTCGTCAAAGGTGACGTCACAGGAGTGAAAGAATTGGTGGGACGGCGGGTGGTAGAAGTGCCAGTCTGATGTGTCAAGGGGAAAACCGAGGAAGACACAAGGGAGGGTGCGGGCAGTGAGCTTGTCCGTGCCGGAGGCACGAACGTGAGCAAGGCAGCCCCAGACGTGTAACGCAGACGCGTCACCAGGAGACCCAGACCAAAGGAGGGTCGGCAAAACCTGCGGCTGCTGAGGATGCGGCCAGAGGTTAAGCTGGTGAGCAGGGTAGCGCACGGCAAACAGCCATAGAAAATGGGGTGCACCGGCATGAATCATGGAGGTGCGAGCCTCCTCCATGACCAAACCGATGCGTCACTCAGCGACCCCATTCTGCTGCGGGGAGTCCGGCAAGGTGAACGTCTGGGTGATGCCCTCCACACGACAGAACCCACCAAGGACACCGGAGGCAAACTCCCCACCACGGTCGGAGTGAAGACGCAAGACAGGGAGACCGCGGTGGACACGCGCAGCAACAAGCCAGGGGATGAGAGCGTCAGGCACGTCGGCCTTCCGCTCCAGAGGAAAGACCGTGGTGTAGCGCGTGTAGTCGTCGACAAGCACTAGGAAGTAGCGCTCTCGACGCGGCCCATGGACAGGGGTGGGTCTGCAGCGGCGCGGCGGTAGGGGGGAAAGAGGAGGAGTGAGGGGCACGGCGGAGTCAACCCTCGACACAGGGCGTGCACGGTGGGGCAGGGGAGGAGGGAAAAGCGGGGAACGAACCGGGAAGACCAAGGACGAGACCGTGCTGGGACATGTGACGCAGACGCGGGAGGGCAGGATGACCTAGGCGGTTGTGCCACTGGAGAGTCGGGTGAGTGAGGGACGTGGTAAGGGGGGCAACAGTGGCGGCCTCGGTACAGACAGCATACCGTTCGTGACCAGGGAACTTAGTGGTGACGCCAAGGTCCTGGAGGCAGCCGACACCAACTAGGTTCCTGGAGAACAAGGGGATATGCAGACCTGTGAGAGAGCCCGAGGGAACTGCCGGACACGGAAGGGTGGTGGAGCTGCGGGCAACTACTGGACCGCCGGAATCTGAACTCTACGACTAAGCAAACTGTGCCAGTCCGGGAGGTCGGGGGACAGGCCGAACCGCTGACGAAACAGGTCGTCCAGGCGACGAAAACAGCGGGCAGTGGTGTGACCGTTCTTACCGCAAACGAAGCCGCGGCGTGGACCGGTCTGAAGCTGGTACTGACAGCGCACGCCTCCCGCACCGCCACCCGGCACACCACCACGCGCACGACCACCACCAGCGCAAGGCCACCCGGGCGGAAGACCACTCGCCCGCCGGGTCTGCTGCGGCTGCTGGGACGGCTGCTGGGACGGCTGCTCGGCTGCACCTGGCAGGGTCCCCTCGTCCGCGTCACCACCAGGCAACACGACTCCACCACCACCTCCACGTGCACCCCCACCCCCTCCACCGTGCCCAGTCTTTGGGCGGCGGCCCTTCCCCGAACGGAACTGCGTTGCGGCGGCGGTCTCAGCCACAGTAGCAGAACCATCAGAGAAGGTGCACTGAGCGGGGGCACAACCCTGAAAGATAGGGACCGGCACAGTACCGCTTGTCTGAGCGATAGAGCGGTGGCGGGCCTCTATAGCGGACAGGGTGTCAACAAAGTCAGTGAGGGTGAGGTCACCGGGGTGGACGCTAAGGAAGCGGTCACGGGCAGTGGCAAGGCGGTCAGGGAGGCAGGTGGCAAGCAGGTAGAGGGCAGAGGTAAGGGGCGGCTGGTGGGCTCTAAGCTGTACGTCAGTGCAGGCAGCGCGCCAGGTCTCTTCTATCGTACGCAGGTGAGCAGCCAGGTCAGCGACCGTGGGGAAAGACGCAAGGTCAGGGAAGAGGAGAGGGAGGATCAGGCGACCCACCGAGGCAGCAGGTGGGGTGGAGTAGCGCTGGATAACCGCATCTAAGAAGGCCTGGGCAGTGGTGATAGACCTAAAGCGAGGGTGCTCAGACAGGGGAAGGGCCTGGCTGATAGCTAACTATGCGACAGCGTCACGCGAAAGCCAGACCGAGCGAGCAAGGGCAGTGGCCGCAACGGACTCACGCTCAGCAGACGTGGGGTCAGCGGGCAGCACAGCAGGGGGGTCTGGGCAGGGAAGCGTACCATCGAGGTGAACCGATAGTGAGTGGCCATCCTGCCGCTGGCTAGTGAGGTGGCGGCGGAGGTCGGCGAGCCACGCCTCGAACTCCAGCGGCTGGCCTTCAGCGTCGAAGCGAAGCTCCCCCGCCATCAGGAACAAGGCAGTGCGGCGCCGGGCTAGTCAGGATAGTGCAGTGCAGTGCAGTACGGTACAGTGCGATGCAGTGTGGTACAGTGGGGTGCAGTGCGGTACAGTACGGTGCAATGCGGTACAGTGCGGTGCAGCGCAGTACAGTGCGGTGCAGCGCGATGCAGTGCGGTGCAATGTGATGCAAAACCGTACCAGGGAAGGTGCAGGGCGGTGGCCGGCACGAAGAGCGGGCCGCACACAAGGCAGTGGCAGAAACGGGCCGGCGAGGAGCGGGCACCTGGGGCCGGCGGAATCGGGGGCGTAGGGGCTGGTAGGACGAGCGCAGGGCCGACGGAGACGGGCGCGGAGGCCGGCAGGACGGGCGCGGGGGCAAGTAGGACGGGCGCTGGGCCAGCTAGGACGAGCGCGGGGCCGGCTAGGACGGGCGCGGGGGGCGGCTAGAAAGGGCGCGGGGGCTGGCTAGAAAGGGCACGGGGGGCTGGGAGGACGGGCGCGGGGGCCAGTAGGACGGGCGCGGGGGCCAGGAGGACGGGCGCGGGGGCCAGTAGGACGGGCGCGGGGCCGGCTAGGACGGGCGCGGGGGCCAGTAGGTCGGGCGCGGGGCTGGCTAGGACGGGCACGGGGGCCGGGAGGACGGGCGCGGGGGCCAGTAGGACGGGCGCGGGGGCCAGTAGGACGGGCGCGGGGCCGACTAGGACGGGCACGGGGGCCAGTAGGACGGGCGCAGGGGCCAGTAGGACGGGCGCGGGGACCAGTAGGACGGGCGCGGGGCCGGCTAGGATGGGCGCGGGGGTCGGCTAGGACGGGCGCGGGGGCCGGTAGGACGGGCACCGGGGCCGGTAGGACGGGCGCGTGGGCCGGCTAGGACGGGCGCGCGGGCGCGGCTAGGACGGGCGCGCGGGCGCTAATAGGACGGGGGTGGGAGCCGGCTAGGACGGGCGCGCGGGGTCGACTAGGGCGGGCGCGCGGGCGGCTAGGGAACGGGGCGCCTAGGGGAGGGAACGGGCGGCTAGGGCCGAGAGCGGAAGCGGGACCTACCTACTGCTGATACCATCTCGAAACTGAATAATGAATGGTGAGAACCTGTGTACAAGGAAATATATCTAAGGGTTGTACCATCTAAGAGGTGACCCTATACAGTCTATACAAACATTACGGACTACACATGTTTGACAGCAAGTGCCGAGCGCCACTGCCTGCCCTCGTTCACCCTCGCTTTGGGTTTTGCGTGTGTTCTCATTGTTTCCCCAACAAAAAGACGGAATATTTTCCTGCCTGAAAGAAAATACACAAGTTTCAAATGAGGCCCAGCTTTGTAATTTTAGCCAAGGGCTTTAAACCTATCACAAGGCCTGGTTAACTCCCACCCAGAATTTTAGTGATATTTTGGCAACGCCAAAATGGATTACGGTACTATATACATGGGCATATGCTCATGCAGCCATTCTTTGCCATAGAGCTGCGTCTGCCTCATCTTCTAGACGAGCTCTCGTCCGTGTTTTTTGCACTCCCACTAGACGCCCCTGCCTTAGCCCTCTGGTTGGGTGGCCGAGCCTTGCTGGACCAGCTTGAGGACTTAGAACCCTGGGCTCCGCTGAACGCTCCAGTGAAGCCGCCGCCAGACTGCTGGCTGCGCTGCTGTGTGCCATGCCATGGCCCCCCACCAGCAGCCCCACCCATGAAGCCCGCCAGCAAATCCTCCATGCTCCCCCCCGAGCGCTTCTTGCCGCTGCGCGACTTGGACGTGGAGAAGCCCTGCCTGAAATGCCCCCCCATGCCGCCCATGCCGCCCATGCCACCCATGCCGCCCATGCCACCCATGCCGCCCATGCCGAAGGATGCAAGCAGCTCCTCAATGTTGGGAGGGGAAGAACCCGAGGAGGCGAATGAGAAGGGCGACGCGCGGGAGGAAGAGAAGGACGCGGACTTGCTGCTCGCACCCCCGGCACCAGCACCACCCCCTGAGGTAGCACCGTTGCTGGACGAGAAGTGATACGTGTATGTGTTCCCCCCACTGCTCCGCCTTCCCCCTCCCGCCCCAGCGCCTTCACCCCACCCAAACCCACCGAAGCCTGGCTCGCCCTGCCACTGCTGCTGCCCCCCTGACTGGGCGTGCGCACGAGAGGAATGCGAGGACTGCGACGAGCGCGAGGAGGGAGGCGGCATGGAGGAGGGGTCCCCCATGAGGTCGTACTGCCGGCGCTTGTCCGGGTCAGACAGCACGTCGTACGCTGGTCACGCCGGGCAGAGGAGGGAGCACAGTAAGAAACAGGGATAAAAAGGAGGAGTCAGAAACAAGGGGCGACGTAGGCAAGGAGTGTGAACGCGCAGGGGCAAGGGCGGCGTACCGTGTGAGATCTCCATGAACTTGCTCTTGGCGGCCTTGGAGGGGTTCTTGTCCGGGTGGTACTTGAGCGACAGCCTGCACCGCGCGCACCCACGGCACACAGCACACGCCACGCGCCAACGAGAGAAGCAGGAGGAGAAGGAAGCGATGAGATTAAGAAAGAGGCGGTGAGGAATGAATAAGCAAGAGGAGAGCTACTAGAGCGCGATGACGGCGACGACACAAAGCACGCGAGGAAGAGCAGGCGCGAAGAGGGGAGGGCGACGGGGCGGGGTGGGGAAAGGCACTGACTTGTAGAAGGCCTTGCGAATGTCCTTGTCGTTGGCCGCCCGCTCGACGCCCAGCACCTGGCGGAAAACAGTGGAGGGGGAGAAAGAGGGGAACCGGGGGAAGCGGTGAGAACGAAAGACTGCAAGAGGAGAAACGTGGCAGTACGGCGAGACGGGAAAGGACCGGGAAGCGCATGAGGACGAGAAAGAAGTGCGAGAAATGAAAGTCACGCGCCACTCTCGAGTCGGGAGCGGCCGGTGCTCGAAAGGTATGGAGCGAGGATGGGCGACGTACGGAGTAAAGGTCCCGTGCTGCTGCCGCTGCGGCTGTGAGCGCACACAACGCGCAGATGAGAGCGACAGCCGTCGAAAGAAACGCCCGGCCGAGTAACCGATGCTGACCCATAATGCTGCTATGGCGACGAATTGAATCACGACGCGAATTTTCCTACGAGTATGGGAGTTCAGGCATAGTATGGGTAATCCACTAGAGCAGAAATATGTATCTGCTGGTTGAGCAACTCAGGCACCTTTATACTTGCAGGGGGTGGGAGGAGAGGGGGTTGGAGAAGGTTCGAGAAGAATGTGCCCAGGGCCTTCTCGATCCAGAAGGGCTTGTGCTCAGAAATAGTTGAAGTTTCAAATAAAATCCGCTAAAAATCTGCCGCGTGTAATGAATGGGACTGCCGAGTAGCGCGGAGGGCAATGGCGAAACTGTGAACGAGTGAATGACAATAAAATGAAAGACAAAACAAAATATAGAAAGCCTAGGGTGTTCCTGCGCGTAGGATCTGAAGGTTCGGAAAAGTATCGAAGGGCCTCGACGTGTCGTAGCGAGGTCCGGAAAAGCTCAGGAGGCTCGAACTGATAGGTCTGGAACCCTGGCGATGGTTCGGGACTGTTCGAGTCGTACGCCTTGTAGCAAGCCTCAGTCAGGAATTCCTAATTCCTTACACCGCGTGTCAAAACGTTACAGCAAGGATTACAGCATCATATGAGACTCCAACTATCTTCAAAGAGGAAATCGCGCTCTTCGACGAAAATCAATAATGGTTCATATTGGGCTGAGAAAAGCCCTTAGGATCTTTCCAGAGACTAGGTCCCAGTTGAAGAATGAGACTTGAGTAGTGCAGCGGAAGTTGAGTAGTTGAACCCTTGTACTAGTATATGAGAACAAGTGATTGATTAAAGTGAACAAGCATACAGCAATATATAGAAAGTAGAAAACAAGCAGTTGTAGAATACAGTTGAATGGCGGTTTATCGAGTCGCACAACGACTCGATGTCGCTTCGGTTACCATTCTTGCAGTTGTAACGGTCAGTCGCAACCTCCGGTTGCGACCCTTCGAGTCCATTCGTGTTCTTTGTCCATCCCCTCGTGTAACCTCCATTGACTTGCGTACTCGTTACGATCTTCCTCGAGTGTGGTGTTACACTTCAGAAACGCTTAAGTCCTTGAGATATTTCAAACACTCCCCTTCGTTTCTGGAGTGCTGACGTGTTCAGATCCGGTGACGTTTGTCTGCCCGGTCAGCAGCATGCAGTAATCGAACTTCGCCTTCGCCAGTTTCTTCGTCAGGTAGTCTGCGGCCATTTCTTTTGTAGGGCAGTAACTGAGTTGAAGTCTCCCCTTCGCGATTTCATCCTTGACGAAAAAGTACCGCAGGGCAATGCACTTGGTTCGGTTGGCGAAGCCGTCCTTGTTCGCGATTTTGATCGCAGATTGGTTGTCGCAGAGGAGTGAGAAGACGGGCAAGGTTGCAATCTTCGCTTCCTCGAGCAACTCTCGTAGGTAGAGTCCTTCCTTGGTCGCAGTACAGAGGGCGATATATTCTGCTTCAGCCGAAGATAGTGCGATTAGTTCCTGTTTGCTCGACTGCCAGGAGATAGTCCCGATAGGTTCTAGTCGGTAGATGTAGCCCGTTCTCGATCGTCGATTTTCCCTGTCTCCCGCGTGGTCGGCGTCGACGTATCCGAGTAGTTGTACGGATGGTGTTGTTACTTTGCTGTAGGTGAGTCCAGTCGTCGGCGTAGAGACGAAGTAGAGTAGTGCCCGGTTTAGTTCTTCGAGATCTTCTTGTTCCGGCTGCTTCAGATGCGTCGCCAGCTGGCTTGCGCTGTAGGATAGGTCAGGTCGGCAGGTTACTGCTGCGAATAGTAGGCAGCCGAGCTTCTGCTGATACTCCTGGATTTGCTTCGCTGGGAGTTTTGCGGAGGTGTCGTTGTTGTTCCCGTAGCGGTAGGGAGTCGCGACTGTAGTTGGTGTTAGTCCGAACTTCTTTGCGACAACGCCTGCGTACTTTCCAGCGTATAGGTAGAACGCTGAGTTGTCTTCGACGACGTTTAGACCCAGGTACTGGGTTACGGTGTCTGACACCGTGAGTCTCAGGTCCCTTTTCAGCTCCCCTTCGAACCAGGTGGCGATGTCAGTAGTGGAGCCGATATAGAGCAGGTCGTCGACGTAGACGATGAGTAGGATGAATTCTCTTTCCTTCTGTAGTCGGTACATGCCTTGGTCGTGTGGCAGTTGTAGGAATCCGATTCTGACGAGGCGACCGTGAAGGTGCTGCTGCCAAAGCCGCGGGGCTTGCTTGATCCCGTAAAGGGATTTTATCAGCTGGCACACTTTTGTAGGGTCGTCGATGAATCCGTGGGGCTGCTCGACGAAGATCTCGGCGTCCACAGGTGCGTACAGGAAAGCATTTGCGACGTCGATTTGGCGCAGTGGTAGTTTCTTCGTGGCCGCGACGACGAATAGGATGCGCAAGGAGGTGTGACGGGAGACTAGGGCAAATTTTTCTGTGTAGTCAATTCCGTATCGTTGATCAAAGCCTCGTACGACCCATCGAGCTTTGAATCGTTCGATGGAGCCGTCTGCGTTGGTCTTGATGCGGTACACCCACTTTCCCGAGAGGACGTTCTTCCTGTTGATGTTCGTTGCAGGTACCAACTTCCATGTATTTCGGTCTTGCAGAGCTTTTAGTTCCTTTTCCATCACCTCCTTCCATTTCGCCTTATGTTCCCCCCCCAGAGCCTGCGACAGAATCGTGGGCTCGCGCGGAGATGGCGGCAGCGGATGCTGGACGGAGACCCATAAGCCGAGGATTTGCAGTCCCGTGGGTCTGTGTCGAGGGGAATTTTCATTCCCGGAATAGGCTACTTCGTCACCATCTTCTGGATCACGTAAGAAGTTTGGGCCGATGCGTTCTGAAACATTCGTGTCGACCGGGTGGGGTGTAACGTAACCTTGGTCAGCGAAGTGGTAAAAGGTGTCGAGGTTGTTGCTATCGAGAGCATTGTCTGCGTCGAGTGGAACTGGCACGGAGCAGTAGGGGAATGGTCCGGCAGCTTCCGAAGCTCTGGGTACGTCTTCTTCTGCTGCGTCAGCCTCGGCAGCACGGTCAGCGAAGGAGCAAATGCCTGCGACACCGTCGGTGGGGTCGTCTGTGTTGGCGATGTTGTCCAGGCAATGCTGCAGCGTCAGTCGTTCGTAGAAGATCACATCATGTGATGCCACGGTATTTTTGTCTTGTATGTCGAGGATTTTCCATGCTTGAAAATGTTTTGCGATGCCGAGGTGGAGCCCCCATCGTGCTCGTTGAGTGAAGCGTCCTGGTCTGGCTGTGTGGGGTCTGTACTGTACCATGCAGCCGAAAACCCGAAGTAATTTTGTGCTGCCCCTTTTTTGTGTCCACAGCAGGTGCGGTGATGCGTTGTTGGGAAGCGATGACGAGGATAGCAAGTTGTGCAGGTGGACTGCATGGGTCATCGCGTCTGGCCACAGTGCGTTGGGCAGTCTCATCCCCAGGAGCAGCTTCCGCATCGTCGTCTGCAAGGTCCGGTTCATTCTTTCTGCGACCCCCTGTTGCTGGTGAGCGTAGGGTAGAGACACCAGGCGTCTGATTCCTCTTTCCGCCAAGGAGGTCCTGAATCGTTGTGACTGGTATTCCAGTGCGCCGTCGGATTGGAAACTCTTTAGCTTAGTTCCTGATTCTCGTTCAGCGATGGGGAGCCATGTCGTGAAGGCTTTGAAGGCTTGGTCTCGCGTTTTGAGGTTGTAGTGCCAAACATATCTTGTTGCTGCATCGATGAACATGATGACATAGTTGAAGTCGGCTTCAGTGTCGTCTCGAGGCATGTTTAAGATGTCGCTGTAAACTTTTTCCATCGGTGCGTATGCAGGTGCGCTCGGATTGTGATGCGATGTAAAAGGTTGGTGGGGAAGATCTGCTTCGGGGCACGTGAAGCATCGTGCGCGAGGTCGTCGTAGTTCTTGGCCACTTGTTGTAAGGAGAGCGTTTCGTTCTAACACTTCGGCTTGGATGGTTTGTAGTACCGTGCTGTTTGCAGGATGCCCAAGGCGTTGGTGCCAGATGTCGTCGGAAGCGCGATGGCCGCGCGAGCGTTGGTACATGTCGGTGTTGGAGAAGAACGCGACGACCGTGGCGGGACTTCGGCAGACTTCTCGTGTGATGGGGATAAGTTGATCTGCTTCGGTTGGCGGTCCTCGGATCGCCGGTCGTGGTATTCGGCTGGGTCCTGCTGCTGCTACTGCAGGTGATGGTTGGGAAGGGACGCTTGCTGGTACTTGTCTTTCTTGTCTGATGACTGCTAACGCTCGTGTTCTTTCTGCTGCAGGTATGGTGTTGGAGTACCAGAATCCATCTGGGGTGAAGTCGGGGTCAAGATCTGGCGGGTGCGTCGAGGCTGCGAACGACACGATGCCATCGCTGTCGGCAGTACCGCGGTCGGGGACGAAGTCCAACATGAAGACACCGGACTTCAGATGAGCACGACCGGTGAAGAGGCCGCCCTTCCCGTGGTAAAGGCGAAACTCGTTGAGTCCGAGTCGCACTCCAAGTGAATCCCTTTTGCCATTAGCTGGCTGACGCTTAGCAGATTGTATCCCAAGTTGTCGACGATTAGAACCTTGTTGAGTTGCAGGATGACATTTGTGTTAGAAACAGAAAAGGTTCAGTTTATTGATGAAGCAAAGGCATTACATAGGAAGAGAGGGATGAGCTAGGAAGGGAAGGTTGGAAGGGAAAGGGGGGTTAGGACCAATCACAAGGGAGGGAGGATCCTTCCAAATGTGGTTGACCACCAGTTGGAGGTGGTCCAAGTGTGGTGTACCACCAGTGGTTTAGCCAACCCACTTGTGGTGCCCTCACAATTGTGGTCCTTGTGTTTGGGGGCTCCAACCACAATTGGGTTGGATTGACACCCCAACACAGGTGTACACCCAACTAGGGATGTAAACACAATATACACAACTAGCATAGCATGGTATATTCTAACAATTTGTTTCCATGGACTGTAACTGAACCACTCCTTGTCTGTTTGTTTTCAGGTTCTCGTTGTTGGCGACGGTGATTATGACGTCGCGGTTGAGGTGTCGCTCTCGTTGCACGAAGCGTCCGGAAGAACACATGTGTTGACCGCAACAGCTATCCAAGAACCAGGTGTTTCGTCCGGTGGGTTCGGCGTTGGCGACTGCAGCGTATGTCGGGTTGACCTGAAGTCCTTGTGAGCAAGGCGGCGGTAGTTCTTCTTCATCAGGAGCGTAAGTTGGCGGTGATCCGGGTGCGCAGTTGTCAATGTGTACCATGCAGTTAATGATGTTTGGTGTATTTTGTGCAGATGTGGGAGAGCGCCTCGGCGGACTTTCTTGAGTGGAAGCGACTTGTGGGTCTACTGGGCGATAAGCTCGGGGACGTGTACAGTTGACTTTGGAGTCTCCGGATGTTTGGCAGTTGTGGCAGAACGGTGGTACAATGGTGAGTCCTCTGTTGTCGCGTTGATCTTGCCTGCCGCGTCGGTTGTAGTTGTTGTCGTGTCTTCGTTGAGTGTAGAAGACTAATGGTTGTTGTTTCCTTGGTTGTCTTTCTTCAAACAGGTCCATGTCCTGTTGTTCAGCATGGAGCTCGGCGCAGAGGTGCATCTCCGAGATTCGTCCGTGGGCGCGAAGGAGGGAGCGGGTGGTTCGCCATTCTGGCCCGAGCCGAGCGAGGACAAGCGTCACAAAGCTTTCTTTAGTGATTTTTCCTCCGCACCGAAGCAGGCGGTCGCGGAGTGTTTGGCATCGACTCATATACTGCATCGCCTTTCCCCGGTCTTCATCTGTATTGTTGTCAGCTACTGCATGAGTCTGCTTTGTGTCACGCTGTCGTTTGCTTGATAGAGACACTTGAGGTGATGCCATGCGAGTTCCGCGGAGTTTCCGTAGCTCCGATACGTTCTGATGCTCTGTTGTTCTTGTGGTGACAGGTTCCGCAGGAGAACTGTATACGCCAGCAGCGACTGATACGTGAAAATTTCTTGCTCTTTTCCAGTGCCGTTGCTTGGGAATGGCAGGGACCCGTTGAAGTATCCCAAGAGATGCGCAGCCTCCATCAGCAGCTCGAATTCAAAGCTCCAGGTAAAGAAGTCGTGTCCGTTGAACGGTGAGGATGTCTGCAGTTTGATCACGTGTGAAAACTGCGCCTGGAGACTAAGTATCTCGTTTGGTGTTTGTTGTGAAGCAGCTGCTGTTGGTTGGGCACGGGGCGGCATGAACTCGAACGTCTCCGGTGAAGAGTGATAAGGCGCAAAGGTAGGCACTTGATTATGTCGCCCGAACGATGAGTTGTCGAGACTCATCGGCGCTAATCCCATGTTTCCTCCGTTGCTCTGTGTTGAGTGCGCAGGTGTCCTTGTCTGCTGCTGCTGGTCGAAGTGCGGCATGAAGCTGAAGAACCTTTCCATAAGGTTCGGATCCATGCTTGAAGAGGGTGATGGGGTCACCATTTTCGGTGCTCTTCCTGTTGTTTCTTGAGCAGCGCCGGTCTCGGTTTGCAGTCCTGAAGTGTGCAATCCAGAGTTGCCGGGTTGAGTGTCTTGGGCGCTGGGTGAGCCCGTATAGATTTTCTTGCCCTTGCTGTCCATAACTTGTAATCAATGAAGTCGTTGGTGTGCAGATTGTGGATAGAGCGTAGTTGCTGGGAGTTTGGTCTCTGACCAGCTCTCATACCATATTGGGCTAAGAAAAGCCCTTAGGATCTTTCCAGAGACTAGGTCCCAGTTGAAGAATGAGACTGGAATAGTGCAGCGGAAGTTGAGTAGTTGAACCCTTGTACTAGTATATGAGAACAAGTGATTGATTAAAGTGAACAAGCATACAGCAATATATAGAAAGTAGAAAACAAGCAGTTATAGAATACAGTTGAATGGCGGTTTATCGAGTCGCACAGCGACTCGATTGTCGCTTCGGTTACCATTCTTGCAGTTGTAACGGTCAGTCGCAACTGTTAGAATATACCATGCTATGCTAGTTGTGTATATTGTGTTTACATTCCTAGTTGGGTGTACACCTGTGTTGGGGTGTCAATCCAACCCAATTGTGGTTGGAGCCCCCAAACACAAGGACCACAATTGTGGGGGCACCACAAGTGGGTTGGCTAAACCACTGGTGGTACACCACACTTGGACCACCTCCAACTGGTGGTCAACCACATTTGGAAGGACCCTCCCTCCCTTGTAATTGGTCCTAACCCCCCTTTCCCTTCCAACCTTCCCTTCCTAGCTCATCCCTCTCTTCCTATGTAATGCCTTTGCTTCATCAATAAACTGAACCTTTCTGTTTCTAACATGGTATAGAGCAATAATGGCTCACGCCAATTTTTAAATCCCGATCCTTCCCCACGCTTCCGCCCCGTCCCCTTCCGACGTGCACCTCATTGTCGTCCCCTCCATCGCCGCTGCTAGACTCCTAGCCGCCGCCTCTCAACTAGTTTTCTGTTGGGTGGATTTTCAAAAACCCCCAATGCGCCAAACGCTATAGCTCACTCGATAGTTGACAAAATTGAGTGATTCGACTTGCAAAAGAACGCTCTTGGTGTCAGCTACAACGTCGTAAAATTTCGGACTGTTTCATCGCTTGGATTGTAAGATATCGCTTTCCGAAGTTTGCAGACTTTCCTGGATGTGATCACGAAGTGCTACTGAAATTTCTACCAAGTCCTATTTTCATCAGCTAACTGCCATCTTTCCCCATCTTTTGCCTCCTCACCTGCACCTGCTCATCGCCGCCTTACCACTGCTACAGCCGTAGCAGTGGTAAGGTCCGGTTCATTCTTTCTGCGACCCCCTGTTGCTGGTGAGCGTAGGGTAGAGACACCAGGCGTCTGATTCCTCTTTCCGCCAAGGAGGTCCTGAATCGTTGTGACTGGTATTCCAGTGCGCCGTCGGATTGGAAACTCTTTAGCTTAGTTCCTGATTCTCGTTCAGCGATGGGGAGCCATGTCGTGAAGGCTTTGAAGGCTTGGTCTCGCGTTTTGAGGTTGTAGTGCCAAACATATCTTGTTGCTGCATCGATGAACATGATGACATAGTTGAAGTCGGCTTCAGTGTCGTCTCGAGGCATGTTTAAGATGTCGCTGTAAACTTTTTCCATCGGTGCGTATGCAGGTGCGCTCGGATTGTGATGCGATGTAAAAGGTTGGTGGGGAAGATCTGCTTCGGGGCACGTGAAGCATCGTGCGCGAGGTCGTCGTAGTTCTTGGCCACTTGTTGTAAGGAGAGCGTTTCGTTCTAACACTTCGGCTTGGATGGTTTGTAGTACCGTGCTGTTTGCAGGATGCCCAAGGCGTTGGTGCCAGATGTCGTCGGAAGCGCGATGGCCGCGCGAGCGTTGGTACATGTCGGTGTTGGAGAAGAACGCGACGACCGTGGCGGGACTTCGGCAGACTTCTCGTGTGATGGGGATAAGTTGATCTGCTTCGGTTGGCGGTCCTCGGATCGCCGGTCGTGGTATTCGGCTGGGTCCTGCTGCTGCTACTGCAGGTGATGGTTGGGAAGGGACGCTTGCTGGTACTTGTCTTTCTTGTCTGATGACTGCTAACGCTCGTGTTCTTTCTGCTGCAGGTATGGTGTTGGAGTACCAGAATCCATCTGGGGTGAAGTCGGGGTCAAGATCTGGCGGGTGCGTCGAGGCTGCGAACGACACGATGCCATCGCTGTCGGCAGTACCGCGGTCGGGGACGAAGTCCAACATGAAGACACCGGACTTCAGATGAGCACGACCGGTGAAGAGGCCGCCCTTCCCGTGGTAAAGGCGAAACTCGTTGAGTCCGAGTCGCACTCCAAGTGAATCCCTTTTGCCATTAGCTGGCTGACGCTTAGCAGATTGTATCCCAAGTTGTCGACGATTAGAACCTTGTTGAGTTGCAGGATGACATTTGTGTTAGAAACAGAAAAGGTTCAGTTTATTGATGAAGCAAAGGCATTACATAGGAAGAGAGGGATGAGCTAGGAAGGGAAGGTTGGAAGGGAAAGGGGGGTTAGGACCAATCACAAGGGAGGGAGGATCCTTCCAAATGTGGTTGACCACCAGTTGGAGGTGGTCCAAGTGTGGTGTACCACCAGTGGTTTAGCCAACCCACTTGTGGTGCCCTCACAATTGTGGTCCTTGTGTTTGGGGGCTCCAACCACAATTGGGTTGGATTGACACCCCAACACAGGTGTACACCCAACTAGGGATGTAAACACAATATACACAACTAGCATAGCATGGTATATTCTAACAATTTGTTTCCATGGACTGTAACTGAACCACTCCTTGTCTGTTTGTTTTCAGGTTCTCGTTGTTGGCGACGGTGATTATGACGTCGCGGTTGAGGTGTCGCTCTCGTTGCACGAAGCGTCCGGAAGAACACATGTGTTGACCGCAACAGCTATCCAAGAACCAGGTGTTTCGTCCGGTGGGTTCGGCGTTGGCGACTGCAGCGTATGTCGGGTTGACCTGAAGTCCTTGTGAGCAAGGCGGCGGTAGTTCTTCTTCATCAGGAGCGTAAGTTGGCGGTGATCCGGGTGCGCAGTTGTCAATGTGTACCATGCAGTTAATGATGTTTGGTGTATTTTGTGCAGATGTGGGAGAGCGCCTCGGCGGACTTTCTTGAGTGGAAGCGACTTGTGGGTCTACTGGGCGATAAGCTCGGGGACGTGTACAGTTGACTTTGGAGTGTCCGGATGTTTGGCAGTTGTGGCAGAACGGTGGTACAATGGTGAGTCCTCTGTTGTCGCGTTGATCTTGCCTGCCGCGTCGGTTGTAGTTGTTGTCGTGTCTTCGTTGAGTGTAGAAGACTAATGGTTGTTGTTTCCTTGGTTGTCTTTCTTCAAACAGGTCCATGTCCTGTTGTTCAGCATGGAGCTCGGCGCAGAGGTGCATCTCCGAGATTCGTCCGTGGGCGCGAAGGAGGGAGCGGGTGGTTCGCCATTCTGGCCCGAGCCGAGCGAGGACAAGCGTCACAAAGCTTTCTTTAGTGATTTTTCCTCCGCACCGAAGCAGGCGGTCGCGGAGTGTTTGGCATCGACTCATATACTGCATCGCCTTTCCCCGGTCTTCATCTGTATTGTTGTCAGCTACTGCATGAGTCTGCTTTGTGTCACGCTGTCGTTTGCTTGATAGAGACACTTGAGGTGATGCCATGCGAGTTCCGCGGAGTTTCCGTAGCTCCGATACGTTCTGATGCTCTGTTGTTCTTGTGGTGACAGGTTCCGCAGGAGAACTGTATACGCCAGCAGCGACTGATACGTGAAAATTTCTTGCTCTTTTCCAGTGCCGTTGCTTGGGAATGGCAGGGACCCGTTTGAAGTATCCCAAGAGATGCGCAGCCTCCATCAGCAGCTCGAATTCAAAGCTCCAGGTAAAGAAGTCGTGTCCGTTGAACGGTGAGGATGTCTGCAGTTTGATCACGTGTGAAAACTGCGCCTGGAGACTAAGTATCTCGTTTGGTGTTTGTTGTGATGCAGCTGCTGTTGGTTGGGCACGGGGCGGCATGAACTCGAACGTCTCCGGTGAAGAGTGATAAGGCGCAAAGGTAGGCACTTGATTATGTCGCCCGAACGATGAGTTGTCGAGACTCATCGGCGCTAATCCCATGTTTCCTCCGTTGCTCTGTGTTGAGTGCGCAGGTGTCCTTGTCTGCTGCTGCTGGTCGAAGTGCGGCATGAAGCTGAAGAACCTTTCCATAAGGTTCGGATCCATGCTTGAAGAGGGTGATGGGGTCACCATTTTCGGTGCTCTTCCTGTTGTTTCTTGAGCAGCGCCGGTCTCGGTTTGCAGTCCTGAAGTGTGCAATCCAGAGTTGCCGGGTTGAGTGTCTTGGGCGCTGGGTGAGCCCGTATAGATTTTCTTGCCCTTGCTGTCCATAACTTGTAATCAATGAAGTCGTTGGTGTGCAGATTGTGGATAGAGCGTAGTTGCTGGAGTTTGGTCTCTGACCAGCTCTCATACCATATTGGGCTAAGAAAAGCCCTTAGGATCTTTCCAGAGACTAGGTCCCAGTTGAAGAATGAGACTGGAATAGTGCAGCGGAAGTTGAGTAGTTGAACCCTTGTACTAGTATATGAGAACAAGTGATTGATTAAAGTGAACAAGCATACAGCAATATATAGAAAGTAGAAAACAAGCAGTTATAGAATACAGTTGAAATGGCGGTTTATCGAGTCGCACAGCGACTCGATTGTCGCTTCGGTTACCATTCTTGCAGTTGTAACGGTCAGTCGCAACTGTTAGAATATACCATGCTATGCTAGTTGTGTATATTGTGTTTACATTCCTAGTTGGGTGTACACCTGTGTTGGGGTGTCAATCCAACCCAATTGTGGTTGGAGCCCCCAAACACAAGGACCACAATTGTGGGGCACCACAAGTGGGTTGGCTAAACCACTGGTGGTACACCACACTTGGACCACCTCCAACTGGTGGTCAACCACATTTGGAAGGACCCTCCCTCCCTTGTAATTGGTCCTAACCCCCCTTTCCCTTCCAACCTTCCCTTCCTAGCTCATCCCTCTCTTCCTATGTAATGCCTTTGCTTCATCAATAAACTGAACCTTTCTGTTTCTAACATGGTATAGAGCAATAATGGCTCACGCCAATTTTTAAATCCCGATCCTTCCCCACGCTTCCGCCCCGTCCCCTTCCGACGTGCACCTCATTGTCGTCCCCTCCATCGCCGCTGCTAGACTCCTAGCCGCCGCCTCTCAACTAGTTTTCTGTTGGGTGGATTTTCAAAAACCCCCAATGCGCCAAACGCTATAGCTCACTCGATAGTTGACAAAATTGAGTGATTCGACTTGCAAAAGAACGCTCTTGGTGTCAGCTACAACGTCGTAAAATTTCGGACTGTTTCATCGCTTGGATTGTAAGATATCGCTTTCCGAAGTTTGCAGACTTTCCTGGATGTGATCACGAAGTGCTACTGAAATTTCTACCAAGTCCTATTTTCATCAGCTAACTGCCATCTTTCCCCATCTTTTGCCTCCTCACCTGCACCTGCTCATCGCCGCCTTACCACTGCTACAGCCGTAGCAGTGGTAAGGTCCGGTTCATTCTTTCTGCGACCCCCTGTTGCTGGTGAGCGTAGGGTAGAGACACCAGGCGTCTGATTCCTCTTTCCGCCAAGGAGGTCCTGAATCGTTGTGACTGGTATTCCAGTGCGCCGTCGGATTGGAAACTCTTTAGCTTAGTTCCTGATTCTCGTTCAGCGATGGGGAGCCATGTCGTGAAGGCTTTGAAGGCTTGGTCTCGCGTTTTGAGGTTGTAGTGCCAAATCTTGTTGCTGCATCGATGAACATGATGACATAGTTGAAGTCGGCTTCAGTGTCGTCTCGAGGCATGTTTAAGATGTCGCTGTAAACTTTTCCATCGGTGCGTATGCAGGTGCGCTCGGATTGTGATGCGATGTAAAAGGTTGGTGGGGAAGATCTGCTTCGGGGCACGTGAAGCATCGTGCGCGAGTCGTCGTAGTTCTTGGCCACTTGTTGTAAGGAGAGCGTTTCGTTCTAACACTTCGGCTTGGATGGTTTGTAGTACCGTGCTGTTTGCAGGATGCCCAAGGCGTTGGTGCCAGATGTCGTCGGAAGCGCGATGGCCGCGCGAGCGTTGGTACATGTCGGTGTTGGAAAGAACGCGACGACCGTGGCGGGACTTCGGCAGACTCTCGTGTGATGGGGATAAGTTGATCTGCTTCGGTTGGCGGTCCTCGGATCGCCGGTCGTGGTATTCGGCTGGGTCCTGCTGCTGCTACTGCAGGTGATGGTTGGGAAGGGACGCTTGCTGGTACTTGTCTTTCTTGTCTGATGACTGCTAACGCTCGTGTTCTTTCTGCTGCAGGTATGGTGTTGGAGTACCAGAATCCATCTGGGGTGAAGTCGGGGTCAAGATCTGGCGGGTGCGTCGAGGCTGCGAACGACACGATGCCATCGCTGTCGGCAGTACCGCGGTCGGGGACGAAGTCCAACATGAAGACACCGGACTTCAGATGAGCACGACCGGTGAAGAGGCCGCCCTTCCCGTGGTAAAGGCGAAACTCGTTGGAGTCCGAGTCGCACTCCAAGTGAATCCCTTTTGCCATTAGCTGGCTGACGCTTAGCAGATTGTATCCCAAGTTGTCGACGATTAGAACCTTGTTGAGTTGCAGGATGACATTTGTGTTAGAAACAGAAAAGGTTCAGTTTATTGATGAAGCAAAGGCATTACATAGGAAGAGAGGGATGAGCTAGGAAGGGAAGGTTGGAAGGGAAAGGGGGGTTAGGACCAATCACAAGGGAGGGAGGATCCTTCCAAATGTGGTTGACCACCAGTTGGAGGTGGTCCAAGTGTGGTGTACCACCAGTGGTTTAGCCAACCCACTTGTGGTGCCCTCACAATTGTGGTCCTTGTGTTTGGGGGCTCCAACCACAATTGGGTTGGATTGACACCCCAACACAGGTGTACACCCAACTAGGGATGTAAACACAATATACACAACTAGCATAGCATGGTATATTCTAACAATTTGTTTCCATGGACTGTAACTGAACCACTCCTTGTCTGTTTGTTTTCAGGTTCTCGTTGTTGGCGACGGTGATTATGACGTCGCGGTTGAGGTGTCGCTCTCGTTGCACGAAGCGTCCGGAAGAACACATGTGTTGACCGCAACAGCTATCCAAGAACCAGGTGTTTCGTCCGGTGGGTTCGGCGTTGGCGACTGCAGCGTATGTCGGGTTGACCTGAAGTCCTTGTGAGCAAGGCGGCGGTAGTTCTTCTTCATCAGGAGCGTAAGTTGGCGGTGATCCGGGTGCGCAGTTGTCAATGTGTACCATGCAGTTAATGATG